CCGAGGGGCGGCGTGGGGACGCGGAGGGGCAGCTGGCGCCGTGCCGGGAGCGCTGCGCGGTGGTCGGGTCCCGAAGGGACAGGTCGGGGTCGGGGGTGAGGGGACGGGACAGACTGGGGGGGGTGAGCCACATCCCCGCAGGGTCACCTGGATCCACCCCCCCGCCTCCTCCACCCCGAGCCTGTGCACAGCCCCGGGGCCGGGGGTGGTTTCTGCCCCCTTTTCTCCTTAAATCGAAGGGGCAGCAGGGACATGGTCGCACCACGGGGGTCCTTTGCACGGATCCCCCCCCTCCCCTCGCATCGCTGTGGTTCAATAACTAGCAAAAGCTCCAAAGAACAGCATAAACCAAGAAAAAAAAATAGTCATTGCTGCTGATGCAGGCAGGACGGGAGCCAGGCACTGTCCCCAGCAGGTCCCATCCATCACTTGGGAGCAGGCGAATCCCCCCCGGGACCCTCCCGGGGCCCAACGGGGTCCCAGGGCGGATCGGAGGGGTCCGGGTGGCAGTTCCCTCTCCCTCCAGGAGCTGCCACCAGCTCGAAGGGGAGCGTTGGACTCGGGGACCAAGTCCCCCGGCTCCTGCAGTCAGGGCAGGGCAGGCTGGCATATATTTGAACATCTGAGCAGAGATTCAATTATATGCACTACTTCATTTATTTAGCTGTCCAGTCGCACTGATCAGACTTGGAAATTAAGAGGCATGCGGTTAGAGGGATCCTGTCAAATCACATTTAGCCCAGCTCTCCCTGGTTGGATTTTAAAATGCGGCTTTTTTACATGACCTGCAGCTACAAAACAACTTTCTGCTACTCTTCCTAAAGATTAAAAACAAATCCAGTGGAGAGGGGCGAGGGCGAAACCAGTTCCCTGGCTCTATTTCCAGCCTGAACTCTGCAGCTGTAAGTCTCCAAGCGGTTTAAAACCTTCGCCCTTTTAGCAGGCGGTGTGAGGGTGCCGGGGCGCGAGCAGCTCATCGCGCGGCGGGGGGTCTCGGGGGAGGCCGAGGAAGGAGGCCGGGAGAAGGCGGTGTGGGATTTTGCAGTTATTTTTCTAGCTGAGGGCCAGCAGGATTTGCGAACCTCCTCCCCCAGTTTGGGACAGAGCTAAAAATGCCTCTCGCCACACCCTGCGCTCGCACGCACCCTCACGTGCCGGCACCGCGGCGGCGTGTGCGGGACAGATAAGGCCGTGCCGGGAAGCTGCGTGCGAGTCCGTGCAGAGCAATCCTGCCACCCCATCCCTGCAGGGAAGGGAACTGGGGCAGTCACTGGTGATCCCATCCCGGTGTCATCTCAGCTCCAGCATCCTCTGGGATAAAAGCCCTGGAGAGAGGTGTGTGTGGAGGGGTTGTGGCGGGGAAGGTTTCCCCTCCTTATTTCACCCCAAGGGGAAAAAAATAAGTCCCTCAGCAGTGAATGACCCCAAAGCTGGCGCTGCCCGCAGCGTGCAGGGAAGTGTTCCACCCTGCAGCCGGCTGGGACGGAGCAAACCACCCCTGGGCTCGTGTCCCGATGGGGAAATCCAGCCCCTGGTTGCGGTAGGAAGCTGCCGTCGAGCTGCCGGCAACAGCCACGGCGCTGCGGTGTGTCGGCAGCACTGCTGGCAGCGAGCGGGACCCGGCCCTGCTGCAAGCCCCCTTTTTGGGGGACCCGCTCTCCATGCTCGTCCCCTCGCTGCGCAGGGGAGCGGAGGTGACACTCCACGGAGGGGGGATGCAGAGGGCATGTCCCAGTCCATCCCAGCCTCACGCCAGCTGGGCTCCTGGGCAGGACAGCCCTGTCCCCCGCCAGCCTGGCACGCTTGTTCCTTATGCCCAGAGAGTTTCCAGAAGGATGCGGCGACACGACGGAACAGCTGGGGCTGCTGATGACGGAGCCGCGGCAGCGTGGTCCCCACGTGAGCGTGGCCAGGACACGTGTCCCATGGGGGGACATGGGCTGAGGAGGGGGGAGAGCAGAGTTTGTGCACTGGCAGCAACAGGAGCCCCTTCCTCCTGCTGACTCAGTGTCTGCTCTGCTCTGCGTTTGAGGTTGAAAGCCGCCGCGCTGTGCC